TGCAAAGGTCCATAGTTAAAATCACTATCACTTTTGTTCTCTTGTCTCTGGAGTATCGAACCTATGCTTCATAGTGATGGACGCAGTAACGGTAGGCCTCGGAAAAGAATCGCCATGGACTCCCTCTATGCGATGATGTGGTGATGACAAAGATAGAGAAGAACTTGAAGATTAGATGCAGAAGTGAACAAACCAACTGGAACTGCACGGCTTGTAGCTCAACACGAAGAAGACCGAATAGCGATACTTCTTACTTCACAGATGTATCATACTGTGATCCGTGTTGGCCGAGCACGCAAAAGAAAGAGAACAAGCTTACTATTATGGAGGCTAGGATGCTGACGGACGTATGTTTAACGATGGAGGATCACATTTGTGACGACATGCAAGATCGCAAATGGAGGTTGCTTCAATCGTCCAAAACGTGGCAGAAAAGACGTTAGCCCTGGTATGGACATGCGAGTAGAAGAGAAGAGAACCACCTAACAAGAATGGCTCTGTCAATGGAAGTGCTAGGTAAAAGATCACGAGGGAGACCAAAAATGAGATGGATGCACAAGATCAGATCGAGCATTTTGGAATAGAAACGCTATGCTTTGGGTAGAATAAAGCGGAAGACCTTAACTTGAATAGCAGACTCTGTATAAACGGGATAAAGTGCGGAAATAAATGATAACGACAATCTCAAGCCCTCAGTTATATTGTGTCGCCCTAGCGGCTGCCTTAGGCTTTTACCCGCTAAGTTATCGATTGATGATTCGTGTATTTGTTGTTGTAGAAACACAATGTCTTCAGAACTTTTAAGCAAATGTTAACAGCTCGTATGATTCAAAGATTTTGCAAGCGACTTTGTACCGGTTCATTATAATTTCAACATTTATTTAACACACCCTAAAACAACAGGCGTAACTAATAAGTTATTTAGTCAAGTTATGGTTTGATCTTTGAGTGCTCCTCAATAATATTTGCTTACATGCGTCCATGACATTGTTTCAAGTAAAAGATGGACATAGCATACTCAGCCTATTTAGAAGTAAAGGTCGATGGCGATAAACCCCCATGAGGAAAGTCTTGGTTTTAGATCATAATTACGGATTCTACACAACTGGCAGAGCCGAGTATGCCAGCTAGTACGCCATATTCTTTTGTTATATCAACTCATCTCCTATTTCTACAAATTATAAATCATCAACCAATCAATGAATAGTAGACAATTTCCATAATCATGTATCTGTGAAACCTACTTTGATAATTTCCTGATTTGTTGAACTCATTTTCAACCATCTTTTTTACATTCTCCAAATATCGAGAAAAAGCTGCCAAAGATTGCAAAAGCGATCAAAATCGCCGTTGACGCCTCAAGAAGTCCATCCAGAGGAACTTTCAGAGGCGTCGGTTTTCGCACGCCCGCCAATGCTGTAGAAAGCCGGCCGACATCACCAGCTAATCGCCATGGCGTCAGACGCCAGAAGACGCCGCGTCATGCCGCTGTAATCAATATGCATCATATGTGTAATAGCCATCGCAAGTTGCGGCTACCAATCGTCATGTATGGATGGAGCCTAAGTTCAATACTGAGCAACTTCTGACTGCTCGCGGTTCGTTGCTATGAAGGCCGACAGCATCTCACAGCTAAAACAACGTCCTTTCCACAGTCGAAACCAAATATGCGTGTTCGAATAAGGATTCGAAAATCCCAAATAGTTGAATATTCGACATTCATTACTCGAAAATCGTTGTTCAACTTTTTCGAATGGTTGAATATTTGAGAAGATGCCTTTATTCGATGATTCGAATAGATACTTCAAA